AGCGCTAAGGATGTCCAACTGCAGCTTAGGTCTGCTCCCTGCTGGCAAGTGGACATCCCCCTAGGGCTCCTGGGCTGCCAGAGGGATGTCTGACTGCCAGCTTGGGCCGATCCCCCAGGGAGCGGGCCTAAGCCAGCAGGTGAACATCCTTCGAGGGGTCCCACACTGCAAGAGGGCATAGGCTGGGCTGAGGGACTCCCCCCACCCCCTCCCCGCCAAGTGCACAAATTTTTGTGCACCGGGCCTCTAGTGTATATATATAAAAGCTTAATATACCAAGTGTCCGACCGATGGGTCAACTGTGCAGTCGACCGCTAGACCAGTTGCTATGATGTGCACTGACCACCAGGGGGCAGACGCTCCAACCAGTAGGTTAGCTTGCTGCTGGGGTCCAGCTGATCGGGACTGGGCAAGACTGGCACAGCCATGCCCTGGAGCCATCCCGTGGTCCTTCCCCAGCCTCTAAAATATATCTTCTAATTAATTTCCTTTCAATGTGCATGAATTCATGCACTGGGCCTCTAGTGTTCTATAAATGTGTATTAAATCCATCTGATTCAGTGTTTTCTTGTTAAGTTTTTGTCTGGAAGATCTATCCAGTGAAGTCAGCGGGGTGTTAAAGTCCCCTAGTATGACTGTATTGTTGTCTATCTCTCCCTTAAAGTCCTCTGGAAGTTTTTTATATATTAGGTGCTCCTATATTGGGTGCATATATGTTTATCAGGGTTATATCCTCTTGTTCAATTGATCTCTTTAGTATTATGTAGTGACTGACCATTGTTGTCTCTTGTGGTGGCCTTCATTTTTGAAGTCTATTTTGTCGGATACAAGTATTGCTACCCAGCCTTTTTTTTTTTTTTTCATTTCCATTTGTATGGAAATTTTTTTTCCCATCCCTTCATTCTCCTCCTGTGTGTCTTTGATGTTCTGAGGTGTGTCTTTTGTAGACAGCACATAATTGGGTTGTGGTTTTGTATCCATTCAGCTACCCTATATCTTTAGATTAGAACATTCAATCCATTCATTTTTAAGGTTATTATTGATAGGTACTTACTTATTGCTATTTTAATTCTGTATGCTTATGAGATTATAGAGAATACTATAATCTTTCCCCTATTTTTGTTGTTTTTACAGGAAGAGTAAGAAGTTTAAGCTCATCTTTGTGGTCACTAACTCACCTGACAGCTTTGCATCTGAGTGACAATTTCCTGTCCCGTATTCCTTCAGACATTGCCAAGCTTCACAATCTGGTGTATCTGGACCTGTCCTCAAACAAAATCCGGAGTTTACCAGCAGAACTCGGAAACATGGTATCACTCAGGTATGCAGATTCAACTTAGTACCTAACTGTATACCCCTTAAAACAAAATAGAGTGTTTACCTTAGTAGAAACAATACTCAATTTGATGGTATTTGACCAAAAGTAAATATAACTATCCTTTATATAAGGTTTTCTTAGAAAATTGAATGTCAACTAATAAATAATAAATCAAGAAATCCATGGTCTAAAATTTGTTTTATTGCTGTTTTGTATAATATACTTTATTCTTGAGTCAAAATTTCTTAACAAATTGTAGGTAAACAAATAGAAGGCACTGTGTTAATGTCACATATGCAGTCACCTATGACAGTTCTGGTGCTTTTCCCCCACTACATTATGGGCACTTAATACAGGGTTCAGGAAACCATTGCCAGTTAGTGAAACTTTTTTGGTTATTTCAGGGCATGTATGCATGATAGTAATAAAGCCTGGACTTGAGAAAAGCTAGAATTAGGCATTGAATTGGGGGACTATAGTTTGGAGTGTAGGATTGGATGGGATATGGAGTTGCACAGAGTTCAGTTAGGAATCCTGACTTTGCCATTTTCAACTTGTGTGATTTGGGACAAGTTTCTTAACCTCACTGAGTGTTTCCTCATCTGTAAAGTTGCTGTAAAACCTACCTGCCAAGGCTGAGATTAGAGATATTTGATATAATAACTAAAAAACAACTCAGCCTAACTGGTACATATTTTGTATCTTACTCTATTGCTGTCTTCAGTCCAGCCTTTTGACATTTTTTTAGGTTTAATTATTGAGTATATACTATGATCCTTTCTCCTAAACCAGTGATGGCGAACCTATGACACGCGTGTCAGAGGTGACACGCGAACTCATTTTTTTGGTTGATTTTTCTTTGTTAAGTGGCATTTAAATATATAAAATAAATATCAAAAATATAAATCTTTGTTTTACTATGGTTGCAAATATCAAAAAATTTCTATATGTGACACAGCACCAGAGTTAAGTTAGGGTTTTTCAAAATGCTGACACGCCGAGCTCACTGTCCTAAACCAAATTTACTTAAAGGACCTTTTTTCTATCAGTAGCTATTTTGAGTTGATATTACATGATCATTTTCATTCTCTTTTAACAATTCACATATTAGACTGCTTTATCATTTTTATAATTTTCACTTTCTTAAACATGTATAGTAGTAGACTCTACATGTGCTAGACCAGTGCTGCTCTCAGGATAGTTGTTTAGACTGCCAGTTTGCAAACTAATACAACATGTGAGAGAGATTTTATATCTGTTGAATCTAATACCCTTAAAAAATTGGGGCTTTTATTTTTTTGGTCTCCCCCCCCCCCCACCCCCCCCCTCCCTTTTTTTTTTAATCCTCTTTTTC